ATAAGCCATAACAACATATTTTGTCTACATGACAGTTTATAAGCCATACATCATATATATTGTTTACATGACAGTTTATAAGCCATACATCATATATATTGTTTACATGACAGTTTATAAGCCATACATCATATTTTGTTTACATGACAGTTTATAAGCCATACATCATATTTTGTTTACATGACATACATCTTATTCTGACTACACAGCATACACTGTCATGTACAACACCTTAAAATAACTCACACGAATTTTTTAGTATTTTAATAAAAAATGCTAATCTTTTCTAATCAGTTTCCTGTAAACATACTCACATAATGGAAACATAAACATACTCACATAATGGAAACATAAACATACTCACATAATGGAAACATAAACATACTCACATAATGGAAACATAAACATACTCACATAATGGAAACATAAACATACTCACATAATGGAAACATAAACATACTTACATAATGGAAACACTTGATGAGATAATTTTAATTGAAATGACAATCTTACTCCGGTAAACCTAACAAAAACACAATTTTACTGTTGAATCACATGTTTGTCATGGGTAACATGTATAAAATGAAGAAGAAAACACTTGATGCAATACATGATTTATATCACTAACTGGTTCTCAAACTAATCTTTTTTTTTAAAACTCTTCATATTCTCTCTGCCTTTGCCGACACGGTCGCAAACAACACATTATCAAATAATCCATCAACTGTTTGTTTGTTGAATCTTGGCGATACACTCCACTAGTAGCTTCCTCGGTACTTTCCGAGATGAAGTCTTGCAAGTCCGTCTTCGGAAAGCCTTGTTCGTGATACCTTTTTATGGTGTCATACGAATCCATGATAACTGCTATAAACAAGCTAATAACAACATAAATAAACAGACTTATAAACACATAGAGATAGATCCTACTGAACCACCACACAAGGTCACTGTGTGTATTGAGGATGGCAAAGGTTGCAAACAAATCTTTTTTTTAAAACTCTTCATATTCTCTCTGCCTTTGCCGACACGGTCGCAAACAACACATTATCAAATAATCCATCAACTGTTTATTTGTTGAATCTTGGCGATACACTCCACTAGTAGCTTCCTCGTTACTTTCCGAGATGAAGTCTTGCAAATCCGTCTTCGGAAAGCCTTGCTCGTGATACCTTTTTATGGTGTCATACGAATCCATGATAACTGCTATAAACAAGCTAATAACAACATAAATAAACAGACTTATAAACACATAGAGATAGATCCTACTGAACCACCACACAAGGTCACTGTGTGTATTGAGGATGGCAAAGGTTGCAAACAAATCGTCCCCATTCATCATGGCAAACAGACACTCCGATGTAGTGCTCAAGAAGCGGAATTTGATGTGATAGGGACCCAAAACAACCCAACCACAGAAACAGAATCCACAGTACAGTAGCATAACACACAAAGTAAATCGTAAAACGTTAGGTAGAGCCATTTTTAAGGTCAGAATAAGAACATTATATTTTTTGAAAAATCCCAGATAGCGCAGTATACCTAGCCACACGAGAAGGTTTCCAGTACCAAGTAAAATTGAACAAACATTATACTGATCGCCCTCAATAATCTTTTGTTCTATCTGAAACTTCATTGCAGAACCTACAATTATCAAACCATCGTTAACCGTTATCAACACGTACCAAAAGTCAACAAATTCAAGTTGATCCTGAAAGGATAAGGATTTACCATATTGTTTGTTAAAAAATACAATAGTCTGTTGTCGTAGTAACTGCCCTTTGTAAAGCGATCTACAACAAAGTGCTAACGACATAATACACAAAAGAATAACTATGCCATTCAAAACTTGCCTCCAGTAGTAATCAACTTTATCTGTTTCAACATACTGAACGCTGCTATTACAAATCAGTTTTTTGGAGTCAGCATTTAAAAAAACCAGGACTTGACCATCATGAAGAGAATTGTCAAACTTGATCACTATATCAAAGAGAAAACAGTCTGGACTGTCAAATCTTGTCAGAGATTTTAAAAACACAGTTTTGAGGCTAAACTTCAGTTCAGCATAAATCAAGTTATTGAAATTGACTGAACTATTATGGTCTTTGAGGAAATCTTGCAAGTGAAAGTTTTCCCATCTCTTGTCTCCAGCCGGGTACAAAGGTGCAATTTCGAGGCAACTATCCACTGGGGTACTGTCATAATGCAGAGTTACATTAAATGCAAACACCTCTCCTTTTCTATACTGTCTTTTACAAAACCACATAGAAGAAATTTCATCATCATCACTGTCATAGCCATAAGATCCAATTGTAGTGTCTGTAATAGTGGCATATTTATGAATTACGTTGTCAATATTTTGGAAGAACTCTGGTTTTGTATAAACAGCATACTGTCCAGTTGCTGGCGGGTACGAAACAATCTCACGCGTTGCATCCCAGCCTTTTAAAAATACGTGTCGGAAAGTTTTGACGGTATTTTCATGCTGTTGCCGGTACTTGGAAGCATCGTATCCAAACAGAGCTAACTGGACAGTTATAAAAATTATCTTGATTACCTGAAGACCCAGCTTCCACGGGACTCTCCCTTTCGCTTGCCATTTTTCAATTGGATTCATGAAAAAAAATTGAAGTTTCCTTCTCATACGATCTCTCATATGTGGGGTAAATGAGCGTGATCTTCTCATACCAGTTGTACGACTCGCTTGTTCCTTGACAGAATGGTAAGGAATGTTTTGTTGTTCTTCAAAACCAGACTCTGATTTGGGGTCAGTGGCAAAGTTGAAATTAGTGGTGCCACTCTCATCATCATCATCATCTTCACTACCAAGTTGAAAACTTGCAGCTGAATGAGGTTCTTCATCAATATTTTTTGAATTAGAATGTTTCAAAGACATGTTGTTAACCAGTATATGACATACAACACGTAAAAATTGCTTCGGTTATCGAAAACAAAACTTAATGAGATGTGGAAAGTTTTGGTTTGTGTGAAAACCAGGAATTAACTATTATATTAATTACAAATTAACTTATTAAGTACAATGGCTATGACTCATACAGTCTTATTCAGTTACTGTTTACAGCCATGTTACATTGCTACTCTGACTCTGAGAAAATTCAATTTAAACTATCTACCCGTGATATACCACAAACACAGCACCACCAGTGGTGTAAATCATAATGAAACGGCACTTCTTTCCAACTCCCAACATATTAAACAAGTCTATTGTTATATTGTCGACATAACGTATACTAGTATTCATCAAACTTAATGACTCACAGTGACACGATACGAATGTTGTCAAGCTTGCTCGATATACGTGCCTGTAGTGTATATCACAATAAAATCTCTTATGATTTTATGAGAATATAAAAACATGAATCAAAAACTTGATATGATTAACTCAACATTAAGTAGAAGGTTTACACTTTATCTAATAATCTAATAAAATGATTAAGCCACCTACCACACACTTCTTCCTTATGTAATTAAGCCTAGCGTGAATACAAATATATAAAACAACGTAGCCTGAAGGAAGCTACCTACTACTAGGGGGCGATGTTTTAGAGAAAATGAAACATACAAACACAAAATTTATTAGCTTGTAATGATAAAATTGCAATAATTAATAATATTTTACACTCATCTTATCTTATTATATAAAAGTATGCGTTGCCAAATTGGCATATTGATTTAACCAGAAAGAAAACTACATAATAGAGCGTGAAGGGTTAAATATAATAAAATTTGAAAAAGCCAAAATTAAACAATCCCGCACAGCGCTACTGAATTTATACTACCACATTAGATAACGGGGGTGAGGTGGGTAGAGGAACCACCCTTTTCCGCTTCAAATTATAAAATGTTAACAAAATTGACAGAGCGTGTACACAAGAGCAGTTACAAGTTTGTTTTTTACAGGCTATTCACACTGATAGCATGTATTTCGCGACATTAATTTTCATTTAACAGACTTCCTTGTCCCGTTTAAGAAATTAAATGCCACAGAATGATAAATCTGTGAATAAACTACCGTATTGAGTGATAGTTTAAGAAAATATCTGATGGATATTTGATAAATCAGGGCTGGATTTAGTAATTAGTTTTCTGCTAATAAGATTTTTAAATGGAGTGATCTTTCTTATCTGACTCAGCGGTAAGTCTGAGGGCTTTTAACGCTAAAAATTGAATTTCAATACCCGTGACATGTGGGCACAATATACGTCATACTTTGTGCTTAAATAAACACACTTTCCTATCTGACATTAAAAAGCTGTTACGAATAAATTAGTAACATTTGAATATGATATAGAACGAATTATTAAATATCAGTCTCGTACTTGTTTATATCTATATTTATCATATAAGAAATAAATGATATGTAACAAAACAACGAGGTTTTGTTTCTTCAAAAGACTCCTCGTGTTTAGCAAGCAAAAATTCAGGACAAATTGTTGTGTGACAAAAATAGAAAGATAAAAAAAAACAAGAAATATTTTCTGTGTTTCGGCGATTATTAATGAAAGTGTATAAAATTATACCAAATTCACAGTTTCTTGTGTGATGGATTGCAAACCAATTTTGATTGAGAGGCAAAGATGGCGCTGTTAGATTAACATTTAATTCAGGACGTATCTTGTGTATCCAAAAGTTCTCTTTTGTGCGGAACATTTCTGTACTATCCACACTCCCGAAGATGTTAGTGTTTTGAAGTGACATTTGTGTCACAGTCCTGTAAACAGAGGCGAAAGATGTACGACTGATATGCTATGTTTTGCGCATGCTCTTAAATATGTGAGCTCAGACAACGTATTGTAGAGCTCAGATAGCCAAAGTTGCACCTTGGACATGTAAATTTATACATGTGGATACACAAGATGCGTCCTGAATTAAATGTTAATCAAACTTACTTAGATTATTTTGATATTTTGGTCTAATGCCAATTAGATTATTAGATTATTCTTCTTTCTACTAGCAGCACTTTCAGTTATAAATAATTTATTGTCTTTGCTATTATTGTTATAAAGTTCACAGTGTTTGTTCATTTTCTTGAATTTCGGGCAAAATTAACCGTCCCTAATTTTGAAGTGGTAGAGAAAAGGGAAGGCAGCTAGGCACCACCATCCACCGTCAACTCTTGGGCTACTCTTTACTAACGAATAGTGGGATTGGTGGACACGTTATGACGCCCCCAAGGCTGAAAAAAAAACAAGTGTGTTCGGTGACAGGATTTGGTTTCACAATGTACATATTTTGAGTCAAGTTTTCTAATCATCAGGTCATACCAAGTCTCAATCCACAGTCTATTTAAATCTAAATCAGACATCACATAACCACCAGGTCATACCAAGTCTCAATCCACAGTCTATTTAAATGTAAATCAGACATCACATAACCACCAGGCCATACCAAGTTTCAATCCACAGTCTATTTAAATCTAAATCAGACATCACATAACCACCAGGCCATACCAAGTATCAATCCATAGTCTATTTAAATCTAAATCAG